GAGGAGAGGAGAGAGTGGGAGGGCCAGGGTCAAGATATCATCAACATCCAGTTTCGATTGGAGGAGAGGAGAGAGTGGGAGGGGCCAGGGTCAAGCAGCACCAGAAGTAAGAGCAATAGCAGAAGCAGCAGCAGCAGGAACAGAACTTGTAGCTGTAGCAGGGCTGTGTAGTGGTCAGACACTGCTTGCACTGGCAGAGTCGCAGCAGCCTCAGGGAAAACTCCAGCAGTAGCAGTAGAATCAGGATTGTGTCAGTGCCTCTGTGTGGACTGTCAGGGAAGTAGCTGCAGTATCACTTTCAGTTTCTGTTTCAACAGTCCCAGCTTCCACATCCGGTTCAGTATCTTAAACTGGCCTTAGAGAGTCACTATGAGCCTTGGCTTGAGTCACTGACCTCCAGTGCCAGACCAGTGTCTGTGAGAGATCTGTGCCAGACCAGTGTGTGTGTGTGTGAGATCTGTGTGTGATGTCCAGTGCCAGACCAGTGTGTGTGTGTGAGATCTGTGTGTGACGTCCAGTGTCAGACCACTGTGTGTGAGAGATCTGTGTGTGACGTCTCGTGCCAGATCAGTGTGTGTGAGAGATCTGTGTGTGACGTCTAGTGCCAGATCAGTGTGTGTGAGAGATCTGTGTGTGACGTCCAGTGCCATGTGTGTCTCAGGGAGTCTCAGTGTGTCCCAGTGACTCTCGGTGTGTCCCAGTGTGTCCGAGAGAGTCTAAGGGAGTCTCAGTGTGTCCCAGTGACTCTCAGTGTGTCCCAGTGTGTCCGAGAGAGTCTCAGGGAGTCTCAGTGTGTCCCAGTGACTCTCAGTGTGTCCCAGTGTGTCCGAGAGAGTTTCAGGGAGTTTCAGTGTGTCCCAGGGAGTCTGAGTGTGTCCCAGTGACTCTCAGTGTGTCCCAGTGTGTCCGAGAGAGTTTCAGGGAGTCTCAGTGTGTCCCAGTGACTCTCAGTGTGTCCCAGTGTGTCCGAGAGAGTTTCAGGGAGTCTCAGTGTGTCCCAGGGAGTCTCAGTGTATCTCAGGGAGTCTCTGTGTGTCCCAGGGAGTCTCCGTGTGTCTCAGTATGTCCCAGGGAGTCTCTGTGTGTCCCAGGGAGTCTCCGTGTGTCTCAGTATGTCCCAGATAGTCTCAGTATGTCCCAGGGAGTCTCAGTATGTCCCAGGGAGTCTCCGTGTGTCTCAGTGTGTCCCAGGGAGTCTCAGTATGTCCCAGGGAGTCTCAGTGTCTAGCTCCTGCCTTGTGTGTCTTTGATCATGTATCTCAGAGGTTCAACCTACAGTATCTCTCCAGGCTGTGTCGTGTGGCCCCTCGCTCTGTGTCCGGCCCCTGTCCCTGGTGGTCCATGCTCGCTCTCCGACTCTGTCCCTGGTGGTCCGTGCTCGCTCTCTGACTCTGTCCCGGTGGTCCGTGCTCGCTCTCCGACTCTGTCCCCGGTGGTCCGTGCTCGCTCTCCGACTCTGTCCCGGTGGACCGTGCTCGGTCTTCGGCCCCTGTCCGGCCCCTGTCCCCGGCGGTCCGTGCTCGCTCTCCGGCCCCTGGCCCCTCAGAGCCCGCTGTCCGGCCCCTGGCCCCTCAGACCTCGCTCTCCAGGCTGGAGAAGTGCGCGGACCCGCGGCGGGAGCACAGGCTCTTGGCCTTGAGGGGCAGGCGGGGCGAGTAGAAGCGGGGCCGGGGCTGGGGCACGGAGCGCAGTCGCTGGTACTGCAGCCGGGCGCTGCCGGCGGCCCCGGG